CTCTCTTTCCTTCCTTCTCCCCCACACTCCCACAACTAATAGAGGCGTCATCTCCGGTGACCGTTGCCCGCTGGCGCCCCCTTTTCTGGTGACTACAGCAACACTTTTTTCCCTTTATTTTCTTCTTTTTCTTCTTCTTCTTTTTCCCATTGTTTTTCTTATCCCCCCTTTTATCTTCTTTTCCTCTCCCTTCGCTTCTGCTGGTGCGGTTCTACTGCTCGCCGATGACTTTTTCGGTGACGCTCCCTTGTTCCTGCGTGTAACCCCCTACTGTTTTTATCCCCCCCTCCTTTCCCTTATTTTTCTCTCCCATTTCCTTTCTTTGCTACTACTAAGGCTTCACCAGTGGTAGCGGTGACAGCCCATCCCCCTCTTTCTTGGTGTCGTGGTATTTTGTGCGTATTGCAGGTAAGAGTTGGTGGCTATTGGCGACGAGTTGGACGTGTGCATGCAATCATTGGAGAACAGCCAGGCGAGTGTTAGTAAAGGGCGGCAGGAATTTGGACGGGAATGCACTAGGTTCCGCAACATCGTTATGTGCATCAAGACAATCTCCAAGTTCTATTCACGGGATTTGGTACCTCCCATATTCCTGTTAATATTCTTTGTGTTAGCTAGATTATTGCCATTTTAGTTCGCATTAGTTTAATCTCCATATTAGCGGGTCTGTAGTTACAACTTGTTCTCTTCTGGTTTGGTTTGTTGACTCTTTTGTGTTAGTGATTTCCTTAGTCTGTCGTAGGTATAGCGGTTGTAGTCTGGGATGGTAGAGTAAGGTCATGTCCTTAGGAGGAGGGGTGGGGGGTAGGCTAGGGGTCAGGGGGTGGGGAAGGAGGCAGGGAAGTTAAGGGGAGCAAGGGAGCCTATATGTTGAGAATTGGGTCATGGAACATAGGAACATTGACGGGTAAGTTTATAGAGTTGGCGAAGATCCTCTAGAAAGGAAGGTCAATATATTGTGTGTCCAGGAGACAAGGTGGGTAGGATCGAAGGCGAGGGATGCGGACGGTTACAAGCTTTGGTACTCTGGAGTCCAGAAGGGTAAGAATGGAGTAGGTATTCTTGTGGATAGGGATCTTAGAGAGTCTGTGGTTGAAGTTAGGCGAGTGAATGATAAATTAATGACTATTAAGTTGGTGGTTGGAGAGTGCACCCTAAATGTCGTTAGCTCCTATGCACCGTATGCGGGCATGGATGAGGAGGTTAAAAGGCGCTTCTGGGAGGGGTTGGATGAGATTGTATGTAATGTTCCGCTTGCTGAGAGGTTATTTATATGAGGGGACTTCAATGGTCATATTGGGTCGACTGCAGGTGGCTATGGCGAGGTGCATGGCGGCTTTGGCTTTGGGGATAGGAACGGAGGAGGTACTTCGCTGTTGGAGTTCGCTAAGGCTTTTGAGTTGGTGATTGCGAACTCTAGTTTTCCGAAGATAGAGGAGCACTTGGTTACTTTCCAAAGTGCGGTGGCAAGGACTCAGATTGACTATCTTCTCCTCAGGAGATGTGACAGAGGGTTGTGCAAGGATTGCAAGGTTATCCTTGGTGAGATCCTCGCGACGCAGCATAGGCTCTTGGTGATGGACGTTAGTATTATGTTAAAGATGAAGAAGAGGCCTGTACGAGGACGATTGAGGATCAGGTGAAGAGTCTTGACTAAGGAAAAATCTCAGGAGTTGGAGGGGAGGTTAGCGGCTATGGGAGCCTGGAGTAGTAGCGGAGACACGAGCGTTATGTGGGCAACGACGTGAAGTGGTTCAAGGTAAAGTGTAAGCGAAGAAGGCGACATACCTGGAGTTAGTAGGGAGCACAGGTGAGGAGGAGAGGAGAGTGAACATGGAGAGGTATACGGTAGCTAGGAAGGAGGCTAAGCTGGCGGTCACGGAAGCTAAGACTGCGGCTTTTGGTCGTCTGTACGAGGAACTGGGGGACAAAGGCGGGGAGAAGAAGTTATTCCGGTTGATCAAGGTGAGAGAGAGGAAGGCTCGGGATTTGGACCAAATGAGGTGCATCAAGGACGAGGATGGTAGAGTATTGATGGTTGAGGCCCAAATTAAGAGGAGATGGCATACTTACTTTCATAAACTTCTAAATAAAGAAGGGGATCGGGATATTGAGTTATGTGAGTTGGAGCATTCCAAGAGTCAGTGTGACTTTGGATACTGTAGGCGCATCAAGGTTGAAAACGTCGTGGGAGCTATGCGTAAGATGAATAGGGACAGAGAGGCCGGGCCAAACGAAATTCCGGTGGAATTTTGGAGGTGTGTGGGAAGAGCAGGCTTGGTGTGGCTGACTAGGCTGTTTAATGTTATTTTTGGGACGAAGAGGATGTCGGATGAGTGGAGGTGGAGTACGGTAGTTCCATTGTATAAGAACTAAGGTGATATCCAGAGTTGTAACAACTATATGGGTATCAAACTACTGAGCCATACCATAAAAGTTTGGGAGAGGGTGGTAGAAGTGAGGGTAAGGAGGGCGGTGTCTATATCCGACAACCAGTTCGGGTTCATGCTGGGTCGTTCTACTACGGAAGTTATCCACCTTATTAGAAGGTTAGTGGAGCAGTACAGGGATAGGAAGAAGGATCTGCAGATGGTATTTATTGACCTTGAGAAAGCATATGACAAGGTTCCTAGAGAGGTTCTCTGGAGATGGTTGGAGCCAAAAGGTGTGTCGGTTGCCTACATTAGGGCGATTAAGGACATGTATGATGGAGCTAAGACTTGGGTTAGGACTGTAAGAGGCGACTCAGAGCATTTTCCGGTAATTATGGGGTTACACCAAGGATCTACGCTCAGTCCATTTTTATTTGCCCTGATGATGGACGCAGTTACACACCATATTCAAGGGAAGGTGCCATGGTGTATGTTATTCGCGGATGACATAGTTCTGATTGATGAGACGCGAGGCGGTGTTAACAAGAAGCTAGAGGTTTGGAACAGGCCCTTGAGTCTAAGGGTTTCAAGCTGAGCAGGACCAAGACGGAATACTTGGAGTGCAAGTTCAGCACCGAGCCGAGGGAAGCAGGCATGGACGTGAAGCTTGGATCTCAGGTCATCCCCAATAGAGGCAATTTCAAGTACCTTGGGTCGGTTATCCAGGGAGATGGGAAGATCGACGAGGATGTCACACACAGTATCGGGGTGGGTGGACGGAGTGGAGGTTAGCATCTGGAGTCTTGTGTGACAAAGTGCCACGTTACTCAAAGGTAAGTTTTATAGAGCGGTGGTTAGACCGGCCATGGTGTATGGGGCTGAGTGTTGGCCAGTTAAGATCTCTCATATCCAGAAAATGAAAGTAGCTGAAATGAGGATGTTGAGATAGATGTACGGGCACATGGGGATGGATAAGATTAGAAATGATGATATACGGGAGAAGGTGGGCGTGGCTCCCATTGATGACAAGGATGCGGAAAGCGAGGCTCAGATGGTTCGAGCATGCCCAGATGCACCGGTGAGGAGGTGTAAGCGGCTGGCACTGGAAGGCATGAGAAGAGGTAGAGGCGGCCTAAGAAGTATGGGTAGAGGTGATCAAGCAGGACATGGCGCGGCTTCAAATTTCCGAGGACATGACCCTTGATAGGAAACTGTGGAGGTCGATTATTAGGGTTGTAGGGTAAGGTCGTAAATATGTGAGGCTAGTCTGATAGGATTTTTATCTTATACTGCTAGTGGTTAATGTTGTGTTCTCACTACTCTTTCGTTTTATAGTGTCGGACCTATTTACTGGTTATTGCTATTGTTTTCATCTATTTTTTGACTTTTATGTTGCTGTTATTATTCCTTTGGTTTCTGTTAATGGTACTGGTATATTATTTCTTCTCGTTTTCTTGAGCCAAGGATCTTTCAGAAAGAATCTCTACCCCCGGGGTAGGGGTAAGGTCTGAGCACACACTACCCTCCCCAGACTTCACTAGTGAGATTTCACTAGATCGTCGTCGTTGTACTTTGTACTATATATACATGCATGCACATATGCTCATAAACATGCTCTAAAATCACCTTAAGTATCAATGCTATAATACCTAATAACCTCTAAATTTACCAAGGATCTTATTACGACGATACGTGTTTACTTTGAAGGAAAAAGGATAGCTCAGATAAGAGGAAAATCCTGTCTTTCGAAGAACAAAAAGCTTTCTAAATAAAATTCTTTCTAAAAGTCAACTCTGACAACCTTTACAGTTAATTAACTCAATAATGACAATAGTACTTTTTTCTTTTCTGGGGCATAGAATAAAACAAAAGAGAAATAAACAAGCTAATGTACAAAAATCCTTCAAAATTCAAGATAAAATACTCCGCTGGCCCCCATGAACTCATCTGCCGATACCTTATTGAGGCACTAGCATTTTGAACGCCCTAGCACCCTTAAACCCCCTTTGTCTTCTCTTCGTCTCTATGTTTGAAGACCCTTCGTTGATGAATCTCACCCCTCATTCACGGGAAGAACAAAAGGTTTTACGTACTGCAAGAGATGAAGCAATAAAGAGTTAGATCGCCAGGTTATAACTGATTGAAATTCCTCCAATTGAAGGATAAAACTCCAAATTAAGAGAAACAGTATTAACATATTTATGCGGAAAATTAGAGAGCACGCTCTTCCAATGACTGCATGAGAAATCTTCAACCTCTATTCACCTGAAAACTCGTATAGTCCTTTAGAGTGCACATGATTTTACTGATTTTGGACGCTAGTATCATGGGCCGATGTATCATTAGTGAAAGCCAATTCCGAAACCAAAGCAATATGATCACTTCCCCACTTCTGGTAAATAGGAAAGCAGAAAAAGAAAAAAGAAACTGATTAGTACAAGGCTAAAAGACAAGTCGTTATGTAAAACTGCATATAGACAAATGTAAGAGTCGTAACAGAATGAGCAAATAACTTCCTTGTAATAGAGTAATAAATTTTGTCCACTTCACGTCTATCTATTAATGTAATGTGTGTATGCATTCCAGCCCTATAAACGAGGACAAGGCATTTGCAGATCTCATACATGTTAACTGAACTAGTGGGAATCCATATCCTTAAAAGATCCATGTCCACCATGAAACTGCAATGGTTCGTAGCCAATTTAACTGATTCCAATATGACTTTTTTCCAACAAACCATTGAGTCATAAGCCATGTGCACATGCTTGCCAACAAGAGCTGCATAAACAGCTTTAATAAGATCATGTGTTTTCATTCCCACTCTAAATCACATACTAAATCCCATAGCTATCACTGTAAACAAGGTTGGCACTTTCACACAGAAATGTTTGGTAAATAGATTATGCATTTTTTTCAATTGCATTGTTGATTGCCTTTTTATAGCTCGTACGGTTTCAAACATGAACGGAAAAAAAATACGACGATTATTAGAAGACTGAGAAATGACAGCTTTTGCAAAATTAAGTGTGTTCAGAAAATACTTACTAATGCAAAAATTTCAGTTCTTAAATTACTATGCACCACTCGACAAGTTAGAAACGAGAAATAGAAGCCCTATCTATAATACTTCAAGGAGGTGAATAAAGCTTTTACTGGCTGCTAAGATTCTTCTCATGCTTTAAGTGATCACAGTCAGCCATTAGAAATCCCCACTTGCCTTTCAGAAGGACAAATACCAGCCAATTAATGTGAATTTCTTCAAAGGTTTATGTGCATAACTCAAATGGTGCTTCTATAGACTCTTTGTCCTCGTCATTAGAATGTTTAAAGCTTGTTTGGTTTGTCGTATAAGGAAAATAAATCCGATATAAAATCCAATATAGGAGTAACTAATAACATTTGGTTTCCGACTTAAAACTCTGCATTACTAAAATGAATTCCAACATATACAACATTTGGTTTTTGAAATAAACTACTCCATTACTAATACTAGAAACCTATGCGGGAATACATAAATTACTTTACGCAGGATAGCTGCGAAATAAGACTACTTGTATCAGCAATCTGGATAAGAGCACCTAGACAAAATATCCTCAAAGCTAATTCTTGACATTGACATTGCAATCCTTGCATAAGTCATAACAAGTCAGTATTATTTAACTTAATATTGTTTAGCACATACATTCACTATAATATTATTATTTACACATGTATCATAATCATTGCATAACTAGTCCGTCATCCAAACGACGGGGTAATTTGGTATGATGTATAAGGAAAATAATCATAGTCTATAATTTTGTATAGTTTTATCCATTGTTTGGATTAGATTTAGGATCATGTATAACTAATTCTTGTATAACTTAATACACCAATTGGTGTATTATCTTATACCACCAACAACATAGAATGACTAATGCATGTATAACTTATACATGGATAAAGAACAAAAAGGACAAAATTATCCTCATCTTTTTCCTAGAGGCTAATGAAGGTCAAGCATCCAAGGGTATAACTGTAAACTCATCGCTTTTTAGTTTAGAAAAAAAAATTAAATGATATCTTGATATCCAATTTTAGTGCAATGTACTAAACACCCAATAAGAGATAATTCATGTATTACTAATCCTTGCATTATAATCCTTGTATAACTTATCTTCGTAACAAACGGCCCCTAAGTGTCAATTTAGAATGTTACCTCCCGTTGTCGTCCCCCTTGATCCAAATTATGTTTGGCACTTACAAATAGATATATTTCGTTAAAAAATCACATCTCTTATGTAAGATATTGCCCCACGTTATATGTGTTAGGTTTGACACTTATAAATAGATATGTTTTGCATCTATTCAATCATCGATACGTCTCTTGTTTTTTCCTTCTTCTTTTTTTATAATAATGTTGTTCGGGCCAACTAGCTTACATCTTGACTATGAAATCGGGTACCTAAACCCTCCCACCAATACAAATATCGTGTAACTCTTCTTACCAAGGTGAGACAGATGTAACGAAATAACCAAGCTTAATGCTTCAGATGGAATCCAAACCCTTGGTTTCCATCATTTCTTTCCAACTTCACTGACCACTAGACTATACTCTCCGGCTCTTTTCCTCCTATTCACATGGTATTGAAGCATCTATGATCACGAAAAAGATCTAGATATCTTCCGCGTAACGTAGAACACCTGTCAAATTTTCTTTCTTTTCCAAGTTCTACAATTCTTGTCTCTATCCGGTGGCACCGAGAGGGTGCACGATACTTACAGTTATAAATACTAGTTTCCTTAATCAATTACATGAACCACGGTAAAGATATATGACTGTATGAATCAAGTTGAGAGTGAGTGTCAGATATGTGTAATCATGTAGGTGTAAATAATTAGACTTAACGTAATATAGTATTAATGACCACATCAGAAAAGGAAAAAGAAACGATTCAGTCCATTGTAAAGCGTGGCTACAAAAGGATTCAGGCTTAAGACATTTCTTACCAAATTCTTTTAATTCTTTCTAATGTTTCTTCTATTTCTCACAACCTCAAGGGATTTTCTCCGGCTATGGATAACTTTCTTCCCCATCTTCAAATTCAAAACTATTTCCAAATCAAATACGTATATTACCTCTTGATCAAAATAGAATTAAGTTTACCTGAGATGTTCATTGGCAAAGAAGTCTTGCCCTACTTTAAATGCAAAGCTTATAGTTAGCTTGATTTACATTTCTTGTGGTAGTACCAGTGTACCACTAGCTTAAGTTTCTCTTGTAATTTCATCGGTCATAATTGGTATTGTTAAACTCTAATGGCAAACCCTTGGTATTAGAATGGTGAAATAAGAACATTTAGAGTGATATCTTTTTAAGTTATTAGGGAGGCCACAAAGGGGACTGATAGTGGAATGAGGAGGTCCAAGGAAAAGTGGAAGCTAAGAAAGCGGCATATCTGAAGCTAGTGGGGAGCACGGACGAGGAGAAGAGCACATGTAGGGAGTGTTAGAAGAAGGCAAGGAAAGAGGCAAAATTGACCGTCGCGGCGGCTAAGACTGCAGCATTCGAGCGATTGTATGAGGATCTTGGGGCAAAGGAGGCAACAGGAAGTTATACAGGTTAGCCAAGATTAGGGAGAGGAAGGCTCGGGACCTGGACCAAGTGCGGGGCATCAAAGACGAAGATGGTAAGGTTCTGATGGAAGAGGCGTGTATTAGGTGTAGAAGGCATGAGTACTTCCTTAGACTCTTGAATGAGGGAGGGAACAGGAACATCGTGCTAGGTGAGTTGGAAAATTCAAGGAGTCAGAGGGATTTTGGGTTTTGTAGGCATATTAGGAGCGAGGAGGTTGAGGGGGCAATGCGGAAGATGAGCAGGGGTAAGGCTACTAGGCCTGACGAGATCCCAGTGGAATTTTGGAAGGAAGAGGATCGAGTAGGCTTGGAATGGCTTACTGGTTTGTTTAATGTCATTTTCAGGACGAAGAACATGCCCAAAGATTGGCGCTGGAGTTTGATGATCCCGTTGTATAAAAACAAAGGTGATATCCAGGACTGTAACAACTATAGGGGTATCAAGCTGCTGAGTCATACTATGAAAGTTTGGGGGAGGGTGGTGGCGAGGAGGGTGTGACGTAGTGTTACTATTTCCGAGAACCAGCTCGGATTTATGCCGGGACGGTGTACTACAGAAGTCATTCACCTTGTGAGGAGATTGGTGGAGCAGTATAGGGAGAGAAAGAAAGACTTGCATATGGTATTCATTGACCTAGAGAAGGCTTATGATAATGTCCCGAGAGAGGGATATATGGAGGTTGTGTTTCAGTGGCGTACATAAGGGAGATTAAGGACATGTACGGAGGAGCGAAGATTCGGGTGAAGACTGCGAGAGGAGACTCGGATCATTTCCTAGTGGACATGGGGTTGCATCAGGGATCGGCTCTTAACCCGTTTTTGTTTGCCTTAGCGCTAGATGTGCTGATGCGACACATACAAGGGGAGGTGCCATGGCGTATGCTATTTGCTGATGACATAGTTCTGATTGACGAGACGCTAGGCGGTGTTAACGCTAGGTTGGAAGTTTGGAGACAAATACTGGAGTCTAAAGGTTTGTTGTTGAGTAGGTCAAAAACTGAGTATTTGGAGTGCAAGTTCAGTGATGGGATGCATGAAGAAGAAGTAGAAGTGAAGATTGGTACTCTAAGTCATCCCCAAAAGAGAGAGTTTCAAGTATTTTGGGTCTATTATTCAAGGATTAAATCTATGGTAAATGTGTCAAAAAAGAAGCTTAGAGGCTGTTCATAAGACAGCAGGTGCTTAAGTGATTTAGTATTTCAGGACGATTTCTTGTATTTCAACCCTGTTGCAAATTAAAATCCAAATTGGTATTCATAGCACTAAAATTTTTTGAAGACCACTATATGAAAGGAGATCACACAGCTATCCACCATGCATAACCAAAACAAAGTTCTGTGCAGCAAGGATGAATCGGAACTGTTGTTCTATGAAGAAACTATTCGTACTTTCTTTTACCAACATACCTTAGTAGGGAAACCTCTCACAAATTGCATGGCGTTTTTTGGAATGGGAGCAAGCACCCTCACAGTTTGAAGACCTTCAGAACGCCTGAGTTTAATTTGAACAATTAGTTTGCCATGTATATTCTTGAGTTCTAACTGATGGAATACCAAAAGCATCAACCACAGAGATGCATATGCATCTAACATATATAAAACAACACATCGAGGTCATATTCTATAGGAATCCTAATATCAGGAGCATTTCAAATTTTGTCATGAACAACTATGGCAATGTTACAAATCAATCTGGGATCTTATCTTTGTTCCTCAATGATGGAATTAAAGAAAAGGCAGCAGAAGCTAGGGGATTATTTAAAGATACTCACCATATATAATCAACTGTACCCATGAAAAGCCTGTGATAGCTGGTCACCTCAGGTTCTCCTGTTGAATCTCTTGTTCCAATAAAATCCTGAAACTGCGAAGATGTGAGTTGCAGTTATAAAAAATGAGCAAGTATTAAGCCAGATTACCAGCCAAGAGAAGATTATATCATACACATTTACCATAAGATACAGTATAGCACATTGAGAGTACACGCTTAGTCTAATAAGAGCTACCTCTACTTCCCTATATGAACTTGCCAACTTCAGATTATGTTCCACTATTGTGCAATCCGCATTGCCTGTAGCAGTTTCTAAATCCATTGGAGTCCAAGCTGATGGATCATAAGTAGACTTCTCCAGGTCAACAACCTCAGAATCCAAATCAGGAACATCATCTGCTATCTCGTCTCCTAGTGGACGCAACTCTAAGGAACCGTAACACTTCTTGAAGGAATCATTCAATTCCTCAAGAGCAGTTTTTTGAAATTGGTTAGAGTGAGATGGAAAGGAATCATCTTCACCATTTAACTGGGACAAAAATGTTTCACGATCGTGGCCTAAAAGTTCATCTTCTTTTGTGCCTCCAGATACCTCATTAAGTGACAAGCTGTCCATCTTTTCGTCCAATAAAACATCAAAACATGTCTCTGCGTATGAGGTTTTATGTTCATGTGACGTTTTAGTGCAACTCTCTTTACCAATTGATGATACGCTTTCAGAGGTTTCCAGAGGAGAAACTTCATGTACATTTGAAGAATCAGAAAATAGCCCCAACGATGACACATCTGAATTGGCTATTGTAGGTCCGTGAACACTCATCACATTTTCAGAACCAAAACCATCTACTTTGGACTGTCTATCCTTCTGTCTATATGAATCGGTTCCGGAACACACTTCTGCTTCAAAAGTTTTGTGAGAAGAGCTAGATGTCGCATTAGGGTTGGCATCCTTGCATCTACCGTGAGTGTCTTTATCATATTCATCTTCTTGAAAAGATTCTAGCGAACTTACTTCATGACTCGTACCTTCAACTGGAAACAATGAACCTTCACCACGAGAACTACTTGGATCTTCTCTAAAGACACCAACAGAAACATTACCATGAGTTTCTCTAGGTAACTCATTCGTACCCTTAGAGCATGGGATAACCATACAAGAACTGCCGGACTCATATACCACAGGACTCTGAGGCTGAGACAAGATACATACAGAAGATCCACTTGCTGAATCGTTTTTAGGAGAATCGAGCTTTTGTTCATCTAATGTCATCTTACTGTCTTTTACATCTCTCTCAGCAGCCAGTGCAGAGCTTTGAGCAGAGTTAACTGCATCCTGGTGTCTGTGGTATCAAAAGAGAATTCTAGTTTTAGAAACATCAAGGCTGAATCCTGAAAGCGATAAAGGGTGTAAAGTAAATATGATTTCAGAGACTTTCAGATTCACTGAATAGACATGAGATCCTTAATATGAAAATTAGAAATCCCCAGTCATTTTTGAAAAGACCAGTGCGTCAAGCTCAGCATGAATATGTGACTAACAAATTCAAAGAAAGGATAGGTGGACCAACCCTAATGACCTTGCATTTTTATTATCTTTTCCAAAATAATACTCAGAAACAATGTGCACCATATTTGGTAAGTTACTTCTTATTAATAGACAAGATTAGAGATTATCGGAATGCAAGTAAAAGACGTAGAGGGTAAAATGAAAGGTCACTTGAGATAGTTTAGCATGTTCTACATAAATCTCCAAATAGATTGGTCGATATGTGCAAGTACAATGATCTTTTAAGGTGCTAAAAGGAGAAGAGGTACGCCCAAAATGACATGGAACTAAGTTGTCCTAAAAGACCTACAAACACTCTAATCAAGACGGACTTAGCTAAGACTATGAAAACAAAGGATCCACATTAGCAATACCACCTATTAGGATTAAGGCCTGGTTGTTGTTTGTTGTTACACTTACATCAACTGCAGTGCATGTCAACAGTCTTTCTAGTTTGATTAGAAACTATATCAGTGTAGGGATGAGAGTGAATTTTAAAGAACCTCTAGTTTTTAAAAGTTCAAATTTACCTTAAAAGATATATTACATAGATGTATTGGAATGAAATGGACCCAAATAGAGCAGAATGATATATAGGTTTCATATAGTCCCCCCCCCAAACCCCCCAACTAGCTTGGAAATGGGATGTAGTTCATCGATGAAATTGAAGTAGAAATCTTATAAGATTATACATAAGCTGGTTGAAGGAAATATGAGGCAAAGGTCAAGTCTCCATGAAATCACCAGATAATTATTTAATTGAGGTAAGAAGTCCATACCTAGCACTAGGATTGAGGCTGCTATGTTTCACTGTATTAATTGTAGCAGACTCCTGTCCTGACACTTTATCCCGAGGCACTTCTGATAAGTCTAGCTGCAGGAACAAAGTGCCCCAAATGCATCCCGAAGCAAAGAATCATCATTTCCCCAGAGAAGACACAGAAGAAAAAAGGGGGTCGGGAACAGCAGCAAGAAACAAAACATCTTATGAAGCTTACCCTTTTCTCGACAATATAGTTGTACAATGGACTCTGGTAAAGGGAAAAAAGAATAAGGAATTATTGCAGGATTCTGTAAAGAGGAAAAAGACAAGCAAATTATTACACTACAACATAAAATTCAGTAGGAACCACAGAAAGTAAGAGGAGAAAATATGCCTTAATGAGAAACATGTCATAAGTGTTTCAATGGGAATCAATGAACCCACCTTTGGTGTACTGTTAAAATCTCCACAGATCACAACAGGAGCATTGTCCCAAAGTTTTGAAACACCATCAGCCTTATCCAGAAGCAACCTAACCTGATTGCAGCAAAATTTACTTACACTAAATGAAATACTGAATCCAATCAAGTGGATTCTTCGTTGTGGCTAAAAATGCTAAACTTAAAACAGGTGCATTAATCATGAAATGAAACCAAACCAACTTTATGCGGAGTAGACAAGCAAGACAGTTCTGCCAAGTATTCTATCTTAAAAGAGATACAAACCAACTTTATGAGGAATAGACAAGCAAGGCAGTTGCCAAGTATGCTATCTTAGAAGTGGATAACATTGTATGACTCTCACCATATACATTTAGCAGAAAGAGGGACCCATTTCTATAGCAACTGTTTAAATGCTGTGTTTGGGATACATGTACTTTTGAGGTTGCTGTTGTTTTTTTAGCCAAATTTGGAGATATTTACAGAAATAACTCATTCCTGAAGCTTTTTAAGTAAGGAAAGGATCAAGTAAACAGTTAAGGTGCAGTGCTGATGCTTCTTGATAAACATCTGCTTCTTCCAAAGATAAAAACCATCTGAGGAAAAGAGGTCCTCATATCAGAATAGTAAAATCCTTCCAGATCATATTTTCCCATCAAGTTTGGGGATATAGCTACTTCTTTGCCTTTCTAATGTAAAGCAGTAGGTTTATCTCATAGTAGGATTAACTGGTTTCCCGAGATTGGAGCTGTTTAATGTTTGTCTCTTCATGAAATAAAAACTTTTCCAACATTCAGATTTAAAAAACTATAATTTCTGAAAGAAAAGGGAAAAAAACAAAAACAAGAACACCAAAGCCAAAGAGGGATGCCCTCATGTCCTTGTATTAAAAATGATGGGGAAGAAAAGTTAACAGAGCTATTTAGAGACATCATAATTCAAAATACACTTCAGATGATCTTCAAAATACTATGAGATAAACCTACTGCTTTACCCTTGCCATACCACTATGGAGGGAACATCACGCCAATTGTAACGATAGGACGCTATAAATTACTTCAGTAGATAATAAAAGAGAATAACGAATTACAACATAATGTGTTTTGCTGGCTAGTGGTCAAACAGGCTATTCTGACACACGAGAGCTTAATGAAGAGAGGAATGCCTCTGTGCTCCAGATGTTTTCTGTGTGGAAGGGCCATCGAAACCAACAATCATCTATTTCTTCATTGTGAGGTGTCTAATAGATTGTGGAAGCTTTTCATAAGTATGAAAAGCTTAAGCTGGGTGATGCCTAGAGAGACTATGGACTTGCTGTCTAGTTGGGACTTTTTAGCTACAGGAAGCAGCCAGGAGAGGTGGTGGAGTCTCATTCCAGCATGCATTTGGTGGACTATCTGGCTGGAAAGGAACTCCAGATGTTTTGAAGACTCAGCAAATCCTGAACAGAAGATTAAAGTGAATTGTATATCTTTATTTCACTTTTGGTGTAAAGAAGCTTTAGTACAAGATGCAGATTCCCTAGTTGATCTCATCGGGTACTTGTAAATGCCACAAGACTAGTTCTTCACCACTTGTTTTTGTTCATCAATCTCTAAGTTTTTGGAAGTCTTGTAACTAGGGACCTTTTCTCTCAGCACTATCTTGGCGCTGAGATTTATCTATATATCAATGAAACCTGTTATCATTTCAAAAAAAACATAAGGAGCAAAGAAAGAACAGCACTCTTGAACTTTCATTTTCTAAATTCATGTCCATATATTCAATTAAACACTTCCAATAAACATAGAGCTTCTATTCACCTAATCACAGAAATATGATGAATACTAACTTCTCTTTAAATGGAACAATCTTAGAACAAAACTAACAAGCCATGACAAGCAGCAAATATGCAGACATGACAGGCTACAATCTAGCACGTCTCTAACGTGTGAAGCGGAGCAACATATGACTAGATAACTGCCAAGCATAGGATACAAAAGTACGCGATAACTGACTTACAGATAAATTCATGCACACAATGATGTGTGAAAAGACGGTATCTATTGACAATAAGTACCTGTCCAAGCTTAATCTCTCCCCTTCTAGGATTGAAAAGCACATGAGTATTACAAATTACAACCTTATTGGAGTGACCAGGTCTGCAAGCGTAAAATACACTAACTCAGCAGGTAAGAATAAGGACAAGAAACTTGAATAAGCTCATGCTAAGAACTCAAGAAAAAATGCTCCAAACAGCATCCAAATTTGTAAAAACATGAGCAACAATGAGTATCCAACACACAATCAACTGCTATCACTGGCCAATCTATAAGGATAAATCTGATTGAACAGGGACTTGAAAAACGAATATGAGAATATCTAAACCAGCTTATCTAGATATCTAAACCAGCTTATCTAGCAATTATCAATGCGAACAATATTGGAATGGCACAGTTGTCAATGATATAACAATATTTTAGAACAAACACTAAAATATGTGCGACCCATAAAAACCTATGACTGAGATGTAGACTTCCTGCATAGCCATCTTTACACTCGGATATTATGGTTAGGCACTTATCTTTCCTTACACAAAGTGGAATTATGTAAAGGAGCATTTCCTATGAAAACTGAGAGAGAGAGAGACGCTTCTTGAATGGTGCTGCAAATAAAGAGGACTGGGATAGGCAATCCTAAAACTCATTTATCCCTTTCTCGTCTTGTTCGAATACTAGAACAACATACCCAGTGAAATCCCACAAGTGGGGTCTGGGAGGATAGTGTACGCAGACCTTACCCTACCTTGTGAAGGTAGAGAGGATATTTTGATAGACCCTCGACTCAAGTAAAGCATAATCCCAACATTCATGAAAAAAAGATACATTAGTGGGGAAGCCATGGAAAAAGAAGCAGCAACAATAGCATGAAAACAAGATAACGGAAGAAAAAACAACAGGTAGTAATAGAAATAAAAAAATAAGAAAATACGAGAGTAATACTAATACTACTAGTATGGAGAAAATATGTGCTCGACTACTTGCTAACCAACTACCTTAATCCTCGACCTCCACACCCTTTTATCAAGGGTTATGTCCTCAGTACGCAGCAGATGTACCATATTTTGTCTAATCATTTCTCACCAATACATTTTTCGCCTACTCCTGCCTCTCCTTATACGCACCATTGCCAACCTCTCACACCTCCTCATTGGGGCATCTGTGTATCTCCTCTTGACATGTTCAAACCACCTCAACCTTGCTTCCCGCATTTTGTCCACCATAGAAGTCACTCTCACCTTGTCCCGAATATCTTCATTTCAAATCATATCTCTACTAGTATGCCCACACATCCATCTCAGCATCCTCATCTCCACCACTTTTATTTTTTTAGACATGAGAGTTCGTGACGGGCCAACACTCCACCCCATACAACATAGTCGGTCGAACCACCACTAAGTAGAACTTATCTTTTAACTCTTGAAGGCACATTCTTATCAAACAATACCCCGGATACAAGCCTCCACTTCATCCACCCCGCCCAATACGATGTGTGACATCATCGTCAATCTCCCAATTACCTTGGATTATAGACCTAAAATACTTAAAACTCTCTCTTGGGGATGACTTGTGTATCAAACCTCACTTCCACATCATCCTCATCAGATATGTCACTGAACTTGCACTCCAAGTATTCTGTTTTAGTCCTGCTCAACCGGAAACCTTTAGACTCTAGGGTCCATCTCCAAACCCCCAGCCTATGCTTAACACCGCCTCGCGTCTTGTCAATAAATACTACGTCATTTGAAAATAACATGCACCATAGCACCTCCCTTTAATTAATAAAAAGTAAACTTATCCATCACCAAAGCAAATAAAAACTAGTTGAGAGCTGATCCTTGATGTAACTTAATCACCACGGGAAAGTGTCCCGAGTCTCCTCTTATTGTCCTTACCCGTGTCTTGGCTCCAACATACATGTCCCCTAGTGTCTGCAACATGCAAACCTCTAACCTCCAAACATCTCCAGAGAACCTCCCTTAAGACTTTGTTGTATGCTTTTTCCAAGTCGATGAATACCGTATGTAAGTCCCTCCTCCTCTCCCTATACTACTCCACCAATCTCCTTACAACGTGAATGGCTTCTATAGTCTAACGCCCCGACTTGAATCTGAACTGATTCTCGGGAATAGACACACCCATTTTCACCCTCATCTCCACCACCCTCTCCCAAACTTTCATAGTGTGGCTTAGCAGCTTGATACCCTTATAGTTATAGCAATTTTGGATATCACCCTTATTCTTGTACAACTGATACATTGTACTTGTTCTTGTACAATAGAATCGTTGTACTCCACCTCCATTCCTCATCCACTTTGCCACCCTAAAAATGACATTAAACAATGCAGTAAGTCACTCCAAGCCTACCCTGCCCACTCTCTTCTAAAATCCCATGGGGATCTCGTCTGGTCCGATCGCTCTTCCCCTACTCATCTGATTCTGTCGAACCTGTTACTGTCTGTAGAAGCGAACACACACACGCAGAGCGAGAGAGGGAGAAGAGATAGGGGAAAAGGGAGAGAAGGAAGGAGACGAGCGTAGAAGACTGGTCATGTCGCCGGACACCGACCAGAAAAGGAAAGAAGAACAGAGGAAAGAGAGAGAAAGGAGAGAGAGAGAAGAAACAGAAAGAGAATAGAAGAAGAGAGGAAGAGAAAGAGACCTTATATGTACTCAGTTACCATTGAAAGAGAAGAAGAAGAGAGGAAGAGGAAGAGAAAGAGACCTTATATGTACTCAATTACCATTGACGGAGAAGAACAAGAGTGGCAATGACAGTTGTTACAGTTGTGAGAGAGAGAGAGAGAGTCTACAATACGCAACCAAAGGCAATTTTCAAATACTCGGGGGTCAAACAGTCAAATACTAGTTTTGCTTCATTCCCCATGCCTTCACTCTTTGTTACTTCAACCTTTTGTTTGCAGCTTAATAATATTATGCCAAATACTTGAATTGACACAGATAACCCAACTTACAGATAATTTAGTTGGGGATGTGGAAAAAAATAAATAATAAAAAGGAAAAAAGGCCGAGGATGTGAAACTTTCGATCAATAGTGAGGCCTGATATTTGTTTCAAAAGGTACAAATTAAACTTTCAAGAGATAAGTTTTTTTACGGTGTAAGTGCCAATACAAAGGAGATCATACCTTGCTGAGAGAGCTGGTGCGACACTCTTATTTTGCTGACCCAGAGACTGTAAGCAAGAGATAAACACAATAAAACGAACTTCTAAAACAAGCACAAGCAAGTTTTGAATTTGAAGACACATTAAAGCAATGGAGAATACACTTGAAAGAATTTATGTACCTCAAATACACATATCTGAGCTACATTATCCCGTAGCCCGAACTTTTTAAATTCAATAAATTCTTCATGCACCAACTTGAATCTAACATAAAACATTTCAACGTATTTCCAATTAGGTAATATCATGAACTAGTAACCAAGATTCCACAACATGTACTGTATTGCCAAAAATAAACACAATAAATGCTAAATATTAAGATGATAAAGCAAATCAACGAATAGTGCTGTAAAAGTAACACTTAATATCCTGGAATGTTGAATCTCTAAACATGCACTCAGCTAATATTTACCAAACAGTCTAAACAATAAATATGCACTCAGCATGCTTAAATGACTTTGGAGCATATCAAGCAAGTTTCCAACTCAATTGGAGTAGAGAATCCAGACACAGACATGCGCGGTGCCAAAGATACTATGGAATTGGCAATGACATGATATGAGAGTGGATTCTATGACACCAATGTTTACATAAAATAGACACAAAAAGAATTTAAAAAAATTGTTTCCTCATTCATAATTAAGTCTAATAACAGCATCACCTATTTAGACTATCCTTCGGATTTGAGGCTGCAAAAGAATAGAATTTCCTTACCTTGACGCATTCCAAAATATTGCACATCCATCAGCTGGATCTCCAGTGCGCCTCTACATCAAATATATTCCACATTGCATATGAAAGTGTTATTATACACTAAACAAACTATGCATTTTGTTCTTGTAGTTCAAGAGTAATAAGGTTCTCAGTGCTAGTTATGGGTAAAAGTATACATGCAAGTATCAGATATGGAAAATTCAAATGGTTGCCTATTCCTCAACTCATTTTGATTCCTGCAAGACAAAGTCTAGATTACTTATTAGTAGGCAGAGAGGAAGGATTTTATATAATAAAGTTGGGCTTTAGGTGAAAATAAATGAGTCCTAGGGTTTATGGGTAAGGAGACTTCCTGCTATCAATGGAGGAGCCGGAGAAATGAGGGTAAAAAAACCAACTTAATGATGGCCGCTTATCTGAGTAAGAAGACAATGACTCTTACTGTTGGTAAGCAATCTCCTCTACACGTTATCTTTGGGCGTTTTACTCTCTTTCAAAGAGATGACTATGCAAACCTCAAAGTATTACGGATGCACGTGCTTTCTTAAACAAGACAAATTGAGCCCTATGTATCACTCTATGTGTTTTCTGGTTGGGACTTGAGGTACACCTCTCTCAAAAGGGCTACAAGTGTTAATGATCCTTCTACATTTATACTTTACCTTATCAAAGAAAAAATGATCCTTCTACAAGACGATTCCACATTTCTCGACATGTCAACTTTCCGAACATGTGCCTTACTATGGAGCTCAGGACTTTGAGATTCCGTGTGAAAACTGGGGAAAGGAGAGTTTTTAATGTGCATAGATGGAAAAAAAAAATGCGAGAGGTGTCCTCTTTAAATCCAAGGTTTTAGAATTGATCAAAGAATTGAGCTAATGGTTCCAATTTAGCGAATTAACATATGAAATTATACACCCATCCTTGCTTTGAAGAAAGTAGAGGATAATATTCATGCATTAATAATCTATCATGATCTTAGTAATCAGACGGTAGCTTATTGACAAATGTCATTATTGTTACGCTAACAACCAGGTCGTGAGGCTTTCCAAGGGGATGTTTTTTTTACTAGACAGATATACAAGTATTGAAGCATCACATAGTTGATGGATACTCTTCCAGCTCATACTCTAACCTTGCCAAACTTAGAATGTAGTAAGTGAGGTAAGGAGTATATGATTAATGTCTTGGATCTATCGAGTGATGGTTTAGAACCATATTTATTGTTGCACTTGAACCACCACAACTCTCAGCAAACCAACAGAGGCATGACCTTATTAATATATGAAGCCATAGGATTAAGGACCTTGTGGTTCCACCAACCAAGAAGTAGCATTCAACAATTGGTGTTCCCAAACCAGTTGAGCAAACACAGAGCAAAATAGATGCTCAACATATTCGAAGCTTGAGTTAACAATAGAATCAACACATCAATAACATTTAGGGGAAAGAGAATGACCAAAACTACATATCAAAGACGAGAAAGGAAGCCTTGTGTACCCCTCACCGGAAAGATGGCGATGATGGAGGAAATGAGTGCAGTTGAGAAGAATGAAACATGGGAGATTGTTGATTTACCTCCGGGAAAGAAGACTGAGAGCTATATGTAAATGGGTATAGACAGTGAAATTACATCCAGGTGGGGATATTGAGAGATATAAGTGGCAAGTGGATTCACACAAACCAAAGAATAGATTATGGCAAAGGAACCTTTCATCCAAGATGTTTACTAAATTTATTATTGGGTCCTTATTTTGACTTTAATAGCCTTATACCTAGTATTACTCGGTAGGAACAATTTCTCATCGGAAAATTTTTTTGCATCCTAATATTTTTAAAGAGCCTAATGAACTTTCTAGCGAATATTTACGAATTATATATATGCCGTATTTGAAGGTTCAAATCCCCAAATTTACATTGCACTTCATAACAAAATGTTGATTTCTGATGTATAATTGCATATCATAATGTACGAAACTTGGAATATTATAGATATATTGCTCTTGGGATAGGGTTGGACCCTCCCTCTGGCATTTGCTCCACAACATATTAATCAACAGTAAGTTCACTAACAAATAAATTGTAAAAATATTTGACAAGTGAAGAATAGCACGAAAGCATAAAAAACCTTCCAGATGCCATTATATTCACGCAACTTCAATTCTGCCTCCAACTCTTGGAATCTGTCAACCTCCTGGAAGGAGGAACATCACAAGCCATACCAAGGATTGTTACTTCCAGAAGTGAATACAAGTAGAACAATGAAACAAAGACTTAGAAGTAAGGGGTCGAAACATATTGGAGACTTGCATTCTTCTTCTTCTTTTTGGGGGGGTTTGGGGGGGAGGGGGGGAGGTACGGGTGGAAAGATTGTGGAAGAGACGGGAAAAAGATTGATTATATTAAGCTTTGCAAGGAAAAGAAAATGCATACATAGACACACACATAATATGTAAGAAAAGTTTCTACGTGTTCTCATGCGCGACTCAACGAATTTGGTAACTCAAAAGCCAAATATTATTAAAAGGCCCTTAAATTTTCATAAAATTCATACGATAATGAGACAAAAAAGAAACCCACATGTTTTGGTTTAGTGGTAAGAGCGCAACGCGTGATGTGTAGGTTAGACTCACATCACGGTTTCGAACTCTCCCGCGGACAAAAGTATGATATTTAAGTGGAAAATGGTAGAGGGGTGGGCTCATTATCCATCGTGTTCGAATCTTGCGCCATTGTCCTCGAGAATTTCTTAATTAAAAAAGATAAGACACACAAGAACTTGCGTTCTGATGTATGCATCAATATATGACAAAAACAAATAGCTAACTCATAGAACCTGCGTTGAAATTAGAGAGTGATATCGTCAAAAACATGGGGAAAAAAAAGAGTGTACATACAGAAAGAAAAATTAGAATTGATGAGAAGGTAAATATACTATTTAATTTAATAAGAGAAAATTTATCGTTATTTACTCACTCAATCATCAACCTCAATCAAATTTAAAAAATGTAAAAATTTAAAAAAAAATATTAATAATAATTGGATAAATTATATGTTCTATATAATACTAATATAGTGTTTTGTAATTTTGCGGCCTTAATACTTGGGGGCCTAAGGCAAGGGCTTTATCGGCCTTACGGCCTTACCTTAGAGCCGCCCCTGCGTGTTATGTCATTTCTCTCTCTAGTCTCTTCTTTATCACATGGTACCAAAGAGAAATTATTTATTAAGCATTAACCAATGACTTTCACGAGAAAAATCTCTTTGTCACACAACTTTTTAGTGATTGTGAGTACTCCTTGAGTCGTCCTTAGTTTTGTGAATGTTGCGCATCAACCCAGCACCACCTAGACATTGATACTTTCCAACTAACAAAACCTGACATGCCTTGCACTGACCGGAGAGGACGCATGCCAACATGCCTTGCACCAACTCTTATTTCTCACTATATGTGTGGTACAATATCTCTTTGTTTCATACACGCCTTTAAAATTTGCTAGCCCAAATACATACATTTAATACAAACTCAATATAGAGTTACCAATTCACATATGGTACTACACCTTTGGTACCAACCTGGAAGGAAGAACAAATACGTATATTAGACTTTAGAATAATTTCCATACATCCAGCATCATACCTCATTAATCTGTGCCTATTCCACAACATCACTGTGATTGAACCACAATTCGAAGAGTGTAGAAGGCAAAACAAGATTAATTGAGTCATGAGTCATAACCTGAAAACACAATATGTCAGCTGACCACCATCCAAGCTCAGAAAGAATACTTCTTTTACGCCATTCCCAGTCTAAAATATGTTGTGGTATGTGATAGTAAAGTTTTCTCTGATGATCAATTGCAAGGTAATCAGCAAGTATGTTGTATGATAAGACTGTAAATCGCTCTGCAATATATAATAGCATAGTAAAACATTCATCACTTTGGTCTAGACCTAGCTTAGCAAATAAAAAATTATGACATACAGACAGAAATTGAAAGTAAACAAGTATCTCAAAGTGGCACAGAAGAAGTCAAATATTTTGCACGCTACAATCTTAAACTCCAACCACATTTCAGCTAACTTGGATGATTTATTGTGAATATATATTAAGGGGATGCTCCATTATAGTGGTAAGAAAGGGAGCAAATAAAATGATTTAAATATTTTTTCCATTTCTAAGAAGAAACCTAGAGGTCCACTCCAGGATAGGACGGCTTAAAAGAATATATTCCACACTTCCAAGCATGACCCAAAAGGGAACTCTCTAAATGTTCCATGTTCCCGTCCTACTTATTTGTTCGCAATAGGTGGTTAGTTGTCCCCAACATCGTGAAAGATAAAATGGAACTCGCGAGAGCAAGCCTCGAGGCAACACAACCTCTAAATAATTCGACTTGATCTTGATAGGTGAGGGATTCATCTCGTACACAATTAAATCGTTAGACTAACACCTTGTGCATACTTGATATTGTTTTATGTTATTCTGTAACTAAGAATTTGATGACTTCGATTTTTTTTTGAGTCGCTGGGTCAGTAAAATAAGAGTGCCACACCAGCTCCCTCAGCAAGGTATGATCTCCTTTGTATTGGCACTTGCACTGTAAAACAACTTATCTCTTGAAAGTTTAATTTTCATCTTTTGAAAATAATATCTGCTGAGACCTCACTACTGCTGGAAAGTTTCGCATCCTCTCCTTTTTTTATCTTTTATTATTTATTTTTTTCCACACCCCCAACTAAATTATCTGTAACTTGGGTTATCTGTGTCAATTCAAGTATTTGGCAAAATATTATTAAGCTACAAACAAAAGGTTGAAGTATCAAACAGTGAAGGCCTGGGGAATGAAACAAAACTAGTATTTGACTATTTGACCCTCGAGTATTTGAAAATTGCCTTTGGTTGCATATCGTAGACTCTCTCTCTCTCTCACTCTCAACAGTAACCGCTGTCACTGCCACTCTTTTTCTGCTCCGTCGATGGAAACTAAGCACATGTAAGGTATCTTTCTCTTCTTCTACTCTTCTCTCTCCTTCTCTCTCTCTTTCCTCGTTTCTTCTTTCCTTTTCAGGTTGGAGTCTGGCGACATGACCAGTCTTCTACGTTGCTTGTCTCTTTCCTTCTCTGTTTCTCCCTCTCTCGCTTTGCGTGTGTGTGTGTGTGTGTTCGCGTCTAGGACAGTAATAGGTTCCGGCCGAACCAGACGAGCGGGAAAAGAGCGACTGGACCAGACGAGATCCCAGTAAAATTTTGAAAGAGTGCGGACCGTGTAAGTTTGAAGTGGCTTGCTGGGTTGTTGATTGTTATTTAAAAAATGCCTGAGGAATGGAGGTGGAGTACAATGATTCCGTTTTACAAGAACAAGGTTGATATCCAAATGGTGATGGGGTTACACTAGGGATCAGCTCTCAGTCCGTGTTTATTTGCTTTGCTAATGGATGAATTGATGCGGCACACTAACGGGAAGTGTCATGGTGCATGCTATTGCAAATGACGTAGTACTTATTAACGAGACGTAAGACGGCATTAACGATAGGCTGGAGGTTTGGAGACAGACCCTAGAGTCTAAAAGTTTTCAGTTGAGCAGGACTAAAACAGAATAGTATGCAAGTTCAGTGACGCAACTCATGAGGATGACATGGAAGTGAGGCTTAGTACACAAGTCATCCCCAAGAGAGGAAGTTTCAAGTATCTTAGGTCTATAATCCAAGGTAATGGGGAGATTGACGATGAAGTCACACATCGTATTGGAGCGGTGTAAATGAAGTGGAGGCTTGCATCCGGGTTCTTGTATGATAAGAATGTGCCTCCAAGAGTTAAAAGTAAGTTCTACAGAGTAGTGGTTCAACCAACTATGTTGTAATGAGGGGAGTATTGGCCAGTCAAAAACTCTCATGTCCAGAAGATGGAAGTGGCGGAGATAAGGACGTTGAGATGTATGTGTGGTCATATTAGCAGAGATATGATTAGAAATGAAGATATTCGGGACAAGGTGAGAGTGGCCTCTTTGGTGAACAAGATGTGTGAAGCGAGATTGAGGTAGTTTGGACATGTCAAGAGTAGATGCACAGAAGCCCTACTGAGGAGGTGTGAGAAGTTGGCAAGGGTGGGTCTAATGAGAGGCAGAGGTAAGCCAAAGAACTATTGGGGAGAGGTGATTAGGTAAGACATGGCACTGAGGACATAACCCTTGATAGAAGGGTGTGGAGGTCGAGGATTAAGGTAGTAGGTTAGCAGGTAGTCGCGCGCTTTTCTTCTCCATACCAATAATATTAATATTACTCTCGTATTTTCTTATTCTTTCAATTGTATTACATGTTTTTGCTTCGGTTTTTTTTTTGCATGCTATTATTACTGCTTTTTTTTTCATGGATTATTCACTACTGTATCTCTTTTTCATGAATGCTGCGATTATGCTTTACTTGAGCAGAAGGTCTATCGCAAACAGCCTGCGTACACACTAACCTCCCTAGACCTCATTTGTGAGATTTCACTGGTATATTGTTGTTGTGACAAGGAAAAATAGCATCAAGCAGAAGCTCTATCTACCGCATAAGCAATCCAAATTCCATTTTACACGTCAACAGGTAAGGGAACAGATAAAATTCATAGCATCCTCCTCATCATTCAATATATTCCATCTTGATGTAGACCGAACCTGGTAGATTCTAGGAAATTGAAGATGACTTCTTCAACCCCACCAGAATACCTAGAACAAGAAGGAGAATAAGTAATAAAATAAGGGATAGAGGAATTAGAGAATTATGGTTACTCGTCGAGGTGCATGCAAGCTGGCCCGAATACTATAAAGATAACAACAACCCAGTGGAATCCCACAAGTGGGATTTGGGGAGGGTAATGTATACACAGACCTTACCCCTACCCTAATTCTCTAATTCCCCGGCCCGAATACTATAATTATCAAAAAAATTAAGGAATTAGGGTTGAAGATTACAAGAAATCAATTATGAATTAGTTGACCCGCTTTGTAATTCAACTATAAATCACTAGTTAAAGGATAGAAGAAAGAAGGATCAAACTAAGTAAGGAATGCAATAGGTAAAACCCAAGAACAATTAAAGATGCTTGAAATAAACTAATTACCGTCAATTACAAAACCAAATCCAAAGGGAGAAATAGAAATTAACTATAAATGAACTAGTTCTCATGATGTAACCCAAGAGAGGTTCATTGTAGAGACAAAGAAAAAATCCATAACTCACAAAGAGTCTCATATTCATAATTCTAAGCTAGCTTCCCTAAAAATAAAGACAAAGACTACTTATACTAGGGTTGGTATTTGGGCTAAGAAATGAAACCCCTAAGCTAGTCTTAAAGAGCTAAATGGTCAAATTACTAAGATACCCATATTACAAAGGTAACCTTCAATTGATCTTGTACCCTTTCTTCCTTAAAACTTCCATTTAAGCATACTTAAGGCCTTGAGATCTTCTTTCCACGCCTTCTCTAAGTGCTCCAACTCTTGCTAGTTGAAAGAATGCACCAAAATCCTTGATGGCTACCTTGATCTGCGTCGCATCTACACGAATATGCTAAAAGATTTATACAATTAGCTATGGAATATTGTATGAGTAGCCCTTTCCCCCAAGCATGTCTTGGTTCTTTTCTCTCCAAATGCTCCTGCAAATGCACCATTGTATAGTGATCCATATTTTCTTGAACTCTATTTTTTTTGTCTTCACCAAGTAGCAACTTATCACAACTTCCTTTAAGTTGTGTGGCATGACTTATTTGATCCCCTAAGGCTTAAAAACATATTCCAGACTTCTCTTGCTATTGTATAATGTGCAAATAAGTGTTTTAAGTCTTCTATATCTGCACAATACATACAGTGTATATTGCAAATATTAACATTTTCGGCTTAATTTCTCGTGTCAGGAAAGCATAATCTAGAGCTATACAGCCAAGGCATACTTTTATTGGTGCTCTTCCTTCCCAAAAAGATAACCAAGACCCTCTACTTTCAGATTCCTGCTGTTTTTCTTCTTTTTTTATAATTGAAAAATACGGTTCAAAACTCGGCACATAATGGCACGCCCCTCTACCCTTCTCAACTTAAATATCAGGCTTTTGTTTGAGACCGGGTTCGAACGCATGACATGCACCTAACCTATCTCTACGACGGGCAGTATTTAGTTTACCTCCTTATTATTCAATTATTCCTTAACGAAGTTCCGATACCAAATCTAGGATAGTATATCAAAGCCAGGTAATTTAAAAAAGTGCACATCTTTTTTTTGGACGCACCAATTGGACATGCTACTTCCTCTTCTTCACTTTCTTTTTTACCTCTAGTTGTCTCCATGCTCTTCTACAAGACTATGTTCAATTTTAGCAATTAAATGTGTTTGCCTTAACTGAAATGGAAGTTTCATATTGGTTAGCGAAAGTGAAACTCTTCTCCATTCCATCTGCATATCAACACGTTGTATGAAACAATTAGGCCCTATTTTGTTTAATTTTAAAGAATAATCAACCTTGAACACAAAGAGGTATCCTCTTCTATTCTACATCACATTTCTCACCACACGCTGTTACCCAATAAGCCAAAGAAAAGAATTTCCAAGTAGACCATATCTTATGACTACAAACTCATAATACAAACATACTAAACCTTTTGTATAATATCAAGTCAGTTCCATGGATTCTTTAACTTCATGTATGTCCTTCCATCTATACAACAAAAAAAACACAACTGCAACTATGTCTCAATCTCAAGCACGAGGATTCATCGTGAATTGACTAGCTTTTAACTGGTTATCAAACTACCACAACCATCTTAACAGTTCATGTACCTGAATTCAAGTAAACGTAACACTGAAGAAATATACAAATTTACCACAATGAGGCGGAGGTCCAGGTCTAGCATACTCCCAATTCCGAAAGTTCAATGCCTTGGGAGGGGATGGCCGCGGCCTAAACTGCTGATTCTCACAAAAATTCAGTCTACTGAACCGCTGATTCTCATAAAAGTTCGGTCTATTAAACTGCTGATTCTCATAAAAACTCGGTCTATTAAACTGCTGATTCCGATAATATTGTGTTCCTCGTGGCGGTGGCAGCACTGCTCTATTGAACTGCTGATTGTGATAAAATCCTGCTGGTGGCGGCATTGCTCTATAAGATTGCTGATTGTGATGAAAAGGCTGACGCGATTGAGGAGGCGGCAATTGTCCATAAGTCGGTTGATTAGGATAGAAATTCGGTGTTGGTGCCCTAGGTCGAAAATTGGGGGAAGGACGGAGATTTCTATTGGTTTCACGAACAGAATGGAAGTGAGAGTCTCCAGTTGCGATGTTTTGCTCACTTCGTTCGCCGGAAGGACGGTCGGAAAAGTTTCTCCGACCGCGGCTCCGGCCGCCTCGGAACTGTAACGGAGTCAGGAGAGTTTTGTTAACAGTTTAGAAATGGACGTTAATGTGAGTTTTGCATTCGGGGGAAGAATTCTTACTGATTGAGCAGAGGACATGGCAGCGTTGGCGGTGGCGGCGTCGGTGAAAGCAGCGGCTGCAAGGAGGTGGAGGGAAGGAGCAGAGTGTTTCATGAATGTTTCACTTTCCAACTGACGAAACTGTAAATTGCAATATTATGCAACTGCTTCCATTGAACGACACGTCTTAACTGCTAATGGTGGTTCGAATAGCGAAAATGTAAAAGTAGTCCTTTTAAGTTTGAGGTTAGGTTTGAAGCAGTCCCTTGGATAAATTATTGAGCAACTTTTATCTTAAGTTTGTTAAAAAAAATTGGCATTTTTGTCGAATATTTAACAAATTCTAGGTATTAAATTTAATAGAAATTATAGGAAAAAAGATTAACCACAAACACCAAAAAATATCGTCAAAAAAATCTCATAAATTATTATGATGGTTCTATACATCATGCAAATCTACAAGTATGGGCATAAATATTCTAGTGTGAGTCCAACCCATGATAACACCCAATTAACTCTTACCAACCCATGATAACACCCAATTAACTCTTACGAGGTTGTGTGGGATAAGGTTGAGAGTTCCGCGGAATCTTGAACTCCTTTCGCTAAAATTGGGTTGCTTATCTATCTGACTACAGTCAAATAAGATCCACTTGGACTGAGATAGAAGATTGAGGGTTGTTTGGTTCATGCGATAAGGTGGGATAAGGTGGTTTAGAATTTATGATTAAATTTATTCTATATTTGATTTGAGGTATTAATTAAACTTAATATAAAAAAAATTAAGAAAAAAAGAATAATCATAAACACCAAAAATATCGTCAAAATCTCAAAAACTACCTCCAAATTTAGGTTTTCCTTACAAAAAATTATTTTGATATTTTCATGACAAAGCAAAGCACACAGTCCCTAAAATGTTAGAACTCATACATGACAAAAAGTGTAGTAAAAAACGGTATGTTAAGCTCTTTAAAAATGCTTTTGTTTTCGGTCTTTTCTTGGACTCATGTGGCTAATAGGTGACAAAAGGATGATGATATTTTATTGGAAATATAGCATAGAAAGGGGTTCTTACGCAGTAAATAAATGATCTAGTCAATCATTCTTCTATCGATTCTGCATTTTCGGTTTAGTAAGGTTAAAGTAGGTGGGAGCTAAAAGAGTATCTGCCGTTTGTGTGATACTTTAATGACTTAGATTTTTTTTTTAAGGTCGTGTACAACCATCTTATTGCACAAGTATGGGCTGGGCCTACCTTTATCCTAGAAGAGCGGTACAAAGCACAAGTTTAAATGGGAACTGAGATAGGAACTATTACCCACGGATCTAGAACTAAAGCTGACCTTTAGCTAGTCTACCATGTGTCAAAAGTCTATACTCGCATTTGCGATGAATAATTAGAGTTTTTATGACGAGATAAAAAAAATCTTTATCTTAAGGAATTTAAAGGACCAAAACTGCTCAAGCATATATTTTAAGGACACTTTGAACCTACCCAAACATAAGGGGTTGTTTTTGTTATTTTCTTGGTTTGAAAACAACATCTTCTTTCGACAGCACCTGGTGAGATCGCGATCGTAAGATCTTTGGACAATTCCGAATCGAACGGTTCGAAATTAAAAATCAAAAGTCCATGTTGCTTTAGACGCAATGTTGGCTAATCTCCAAAAATAGCACACCAACTGAAGCTCTTCCTACAGTCGATCATCCGCTACTGAGCTTTGTGTGGAGAAGAGAAGCATACGATGTCGTTTAGCTCCTCTGTTTCATCTGCCCAGCCTCTGTCTATGGTCGCCAAACCTTTCGGATCATCTAAGCCTTTAGCGCCTCGTATCTCTGCTTCTGCCGATGTCCCTGACTTTCTCTCTGCTGATTGGTGACCATCTTAATCTCTCTATTGTTTGCTCTTGAATACTTTGTATTAGTTGAATTCTTCCTCTGAAAATGGTACTTATTAAGTTTACTTATTTGTTTTGCAATTGGGTTGGTGGATATTGCAACTTCTATTCAACATTTTGGTTCTTTACCAGGAATTGAACTCGGGATTTTGATTATTGAATTGATAATTCTAGTATTTATTTGATTTTGTATAATTTTAGTGGTGTTCGTGTGTAATAAAAAAGCAAATTGTTCTAAAGTTGCCAGTTCCCTTGGTTGATCTTAGGTATTGTTGAGTTACCACAAAGTTGAGGTCAGCTACCTGAACATCAAGTGAAATAATAATGTCTTGGGCTGCTTTCAAAATCTTGTATTCATTAGACAGTTCAGTTTTATGCATAATGCTTCCACCGTCACCCTAGCTTATCATCAACAACAAAAAATAAGTACTAATTCCCAATCTCAAAATAGTTAGGGTCGGTTATATGAGTTCTCTATGTCCATTCCGCTCCGTTTGGGCCAATTTAACTCCAATCCTCACTATTCAATACTATATCCTTCAAAACAAACTGAGAGTTCTGTAGAATTAGACGCTCTTTAACTCTAGTCTCTAACCTATTGTTGATGACATGCTTTGGGAGTTTGGGTCCTTGGTCTAACATTGCACAGTAATATAATCCCTTTAACCAAGGATTTGTTGCCTCCTATTTCTATAGATTGTGATTGTCAAGCATCAATTGTTATCGCCACGAATAAATCCTGTAACTGCAAAAAGTAGACATATGAAATTGAAACATGACATTGTTAGGCAGCTACTAAGAGATGGAATAATTTCCATTGACTATGTGCGGTCAGAAGTAAATTAGGTCGATCCTTAACCAGACCTATGGGAAGAAAATTAATTCTTCAAACCTCAAGAGAAACGGGGTTGAGGCTAACAAGACGGTAATCCAACCTATGTGATTGAAGATCCCCTGAAGTAGGTTCATATGGGTAATAATAAGTTGATGGTGACACTGACTGAAGCACTAAAAGATGAGTGCTTGACTGCTACTAATTGAGATGATGAGTTATAACGCTTAATGATTTATATTCCTTAAGGATGATGTACTTTTAGCAGTATACACTTGACAAATTCACTTACATGATAGTGGAGTGGGAGAGGTCTTATAAGATTTTGGCTCACAAGTCTCTAGAGCTCTCATGAATATTCAGGCACATGCATATGTGCCTGGTATATTCGCACACAACCGTGTTGAACAACAAAATTGAAGGGTCACAATATGATTGATAAATCTCTGACTTACAATAAGAATTGTTGGTTCATGATATATTATATTTCACGAATAATTTTGTAAATCAAATTTAATCGGTCTAACTTTGGTTCATAGTCCAAAAGATATCAAACAATTGCATTTGGACCATACAAATCCAGCAAGTCTTATCCTTTGATTCCTAAAATCTTTTGAAATATGTGGGGAATTTTTACAATATAAGTTTAACTTATAGATATTTCAAAAGAATATCTTAACAAGTAGCCACTCATTGGACAAATAGCATGCTTAGAGATGTTTTATGGACAAGTACCTACTCATCTTCATTTAACCATGACATTTGTCATGGTAAGTGACAAGTATCTTGTCAATTGACTTGCGACATGACAAGTGATGATTAGACTAATTATTGGTTTGTAGTAATGAGAGGTGATAATGGAATATAGTTAGGAGTATGTAGTTGTGTCTAGCCATGAGACTTGTCATGTTGCAAATCAAGTGATAAGATACTTGTCACTTACCATGCCAAGTTCACGGTTAAATTAAAATAGGACACTTATTCATAAAACATCTCTAAGCACGTCATTCGTCCAATGACTAACTAGTTAAAATATTCTTTTAAAATATCTATGACTTAATCTTATATTGCCAACATAACCCGACAGGTTAAGCCTTAATTCCAAAGTCGGTATCGCCCATATGGATCATTTTCTTCCATCATGTTTTGTTTTGCTAAGTTCGCGTATATTCCCAGTGATTGTGCCAAGCGTGCAAAAACTAATTTTGATTAACCGTGAGACTTGAAGCCAAGATCTTTGCATGCTCTCATACCATGTTGAACTATTTGACCACTTCATCTGAAAGCTTAAACTGTTAGCAAGATTTCACCTGTAATTGCTTAAATTATGTCTTCAACAATCCATAATTGGGGAAGTTAATTAAACTCTTTCCAATTATGCATTATCTGTTGCAGGCTTGAGTCCCGTAGGAAAAAGCCATTTGGTCCAAGATTAAGTGTAAGTTTCTAGCACTTGAAGGCATATCATAAGAGTTTCTGCTTGCTTGCTTATGCATCAATTTACTTTATGGTTTTGCAATAGTTCAGTGCAGATGAAGCAGTTCGCCACCAGCTTGATGCATTGAAATACAATGACCAGCCTCATCAAGATTATGGAGTTGAAGTCATGTACAGAGTAATATCTAAAACTCCTTTTCTCTTACTGTTGGATGGCTTCGCTTAAAGTTGAAGCTGGCAGTTTAATCCTTAACTTCTTGTGATAGTTTGCTGGATTTGATCCCTTTCAAAGGTCTACCTACTTCGGGCGCTTTTTTGACTTGGGTCAGGTCAGTAATCATTACTGTAACCTTTTTGGATCATTTCTTTATTTTATTTTCATTTGGACTTCAATTTTTTTGGTTCTTTCCTTAATCGTTATGAATGCTCAAAGAGTAAGCTGCCTGTCGATCCTTGTTCTCTTTAGGTCAGGGTACTTGAGCATAATTCCTGCACCAGAGGCAACAACTAGAAAAAGCTTGCAGTTGTTATTCTATGATTATTAAACCTTTACTCTACTGCCATACAGTTTGAACGATTCAGGCGAATTTTTCATCATTCGACTTATCGGGTGTTGCTTGGCCATCAGGAGAGGGAGATTTTGAGCAGTTTGCATGTAAATGAGGTATGTCAGATTTTACATGGTTGTTACCAAATGTTTTAGACAGAGCAATGATAAGCTTAAGAGTTGTCTAATTTCCACTATGTTCGTGTAGAATTTGTATAAGCAGCGTATCTGGGTCCGAGGTACTCGACCCGAGGAAGAAGAAATCTTCCAATTCACCATGGTTCAGGTTTGTTCTTTCTTCCTCACGTCCTCATTAAGAGCTTACTTGAATCAATATTTTTTTAACTGCTTTTTCCTTTAGATTTTTCATTTCAATTATTACTACGAAAATGTGCATATGGTGGAGCTGGAGTACTGGGGGACTAATATCGAGTGTGGTTATATAGTTTAGAATTCTCCATTTATGTCTTCAGTTAATTTCAATGCTTCTAATATAGTAGAAACATATGCTGCTATCTAGGTGATGTATATTGGACAAACAAATTAAAGAGAGACTGCAATGCTGCAATAGAAGTTCGTTAACAAGAGAAAGCTGTTTTGCTTGTGGAGAACGTAGTTATTGAATTTAATTTATTTACGTTGAAGGCTACATTATCCTGTTTCCTCCTTTGCCTTGACATAGGCATGTAAAATGAGTGTGACATGTACTGATGTACATAGGCACTTCATATTGGATTGTTTAAAACTGAACGTGAATATGTACCCATGCCCTAGTCCACATGCATAGACTAAGGGCTCGTTTGATACAAGGAATAAGGGATAATTAATCTGGAATTAAATTTGGGATGAATTTATCCTATGTTTGGTTGGGATAAATCGTGATAGAATCCCGGGATTGTAGTGTTACTTTTATCCCTATGGGAGGGTGGGATAACAATCTCGGGATAACTAATTCCGGGATAATTAATCCTGGAATAACTTATTTTCCAACCAAACGACCCCTAAATGTTGCATCTAACTGTGTTTGTAATTATCTACCATTAAATGCTATGGAAACACCATGCATAACCTACACAAACCAGGGAGTAATGGAGCAAGTCTTGCAAACTCTTTTGCTTGTATTTTTGTATAGCTTTATCGCCTCGTTGGCATTTCCAAATATTTAGTCCACTGATTTCATAATTTGTTTTCTGTGTAGCTTTTGAGCAATTCGTCAGATCCTTTGTGAATGAAAATGAAGTTTTATTTTCCTCCTTATATATTCAGAGAGGTGAAACTAGAGATTGATCTTTCTTGTTTAGGCAAGAAAATTCTTTGCTCAAATCCCTGCCTCCTGAATTCTACATCTTCCTCCAGCTTGCAACTTGTAACGTCCAAAATGCATTGGCCTGCCTTCACTTACCATTATTACCTCAATTATGTATCTTGTGTCAACAATTAAGGCAGAAACATAGGATCAACCTTGCATTGCATCTCTATTATTTTGTACCAATAGACCACAGCCTTGGGGGGCATGTTATATACACTTAATATTTTCTTTTTAGTTCTCGTTTCCACGGGTTTTTTTATTTTTTTTTTTCATTTTCATTTTGTTCGAAGAAGAAAATAGACATATAACTTGTGATTTACAGCGTGTTGGTGGTTCTTGGGATGGCTACTGGCTGACAGAATCTTTGCTTCCCAACGGAGATGCTTTCTCGGGTGGTGTGGCTTACTGAAGTGGTATCTGCGGTAGCACCAGAAGTCAATGTGTTTCCAGTATAACCGTATTTCCTGTAAATAAGAGTAATATACAGTTGTAATATATAGTGTAGTTGCTTACCATCATTGTTGGCTCAAGACTGGCCAATCATGTAAATAGAAACCTGTACATTTGATATGATGAAGCAAATTGACAACAACACGATAGAGGGTCCAAGAATTACTAAAGAAAATCAAGAAACGTGCGGAAGCTAAAAGAAAATAAAGAAACCAAAAAAGACGAAAAATTAAAGATAGATTGAATTCAAAAAAGAATTTTTTGAATTCAAGAAGTCTATTCTTGAAGTTGAATTCTAACAACAATTAGCTAACAAAGAACTAATCGCATTTGGTAGACAATTAAAAACAAGAGATAGATTGTGAAACCCGATCCTTTCTTGAATACCTAGAAGTGATCTAAGATTTCGAAAGAGTTTAATCTTACCACCTTTATTTTTTTGGGCAAATTATACTACGCATACCTAGTAGCTATTTTATTAATAATAAAATAAAATAAAAAAGAAACCACAACGGAAAAGAACAAGGAAGGGGGCTAACTAATAGTGTTGCCTCTATGCCTTGACTATATTATCACTCTTCTGCGCCTCCATTGCCTTAAGATGGCAGCCTCATGTAGAGGATCATGGTGTAGCTGCTGGCAGAAGTCTCACGAGGGCATATAATCTCATAGCCGCTTGGATCTTCCCAAAGGCATAGGAATATAACACACATATTGTGCTAGACCTTACCTTACAATCCTATTGAGACATAAAAACCTCATCTACTAGCAAGCATGAAGAAAATACGAATTGAAAAGAACTAAGTACTCTATGATCATCACAGAGTTTATAACAAACTTTGTGATGATATTACAAATGATGATACTTAAAAATGATAAAATAAAACAAGGTAAAAAATTGAGTCTTGCCCCTCTTTCTTCAACCTTGTGCACTCTTCAATTTGTAGCTCATTAGCTTCTTCTTCCAATGTCTTCAAATATTCTTCAAACTTCATTTCTTTTTTGTTTTATTTGACCTTGTGGAGGTATTAGGGACACTCGCCTTTTACTTTGCAGTTCTCATTGGTGGTTTCCTAATGACAACCTCTTGTGTTGCTTTGCCATCCTAACTATGTTGCCTTTCATGTGCCTTCTTTTTGTTTTTGTTTGATCCACTTCTTATATGTCTAGGTGAAAGATCTCCCTCCCTAGCTACATTTTTAAAGCATGCATCCATTAGTTCTTCCTCTTCCCCTTCTTCATACCAATCTCGACTCATATCCACCCCAAAAAGTCAATAGGATTGTTGCCGGGCACTAGAGCTCCTTTGTCGTTCCTCGGATTGTCAAGAGCTTTTAAAGTGTTTATATCATGAGATACAAGAGCTTGGAGGATATTTGTAGGAGTCGAGTTATATTGTGCAGCCACTCCACTTGTAGTAGCAACATGTCAAATGGATTTTGGGATTAAATTAAGCTTAGAAACCGTACCTGATAGTTGCTGTCCAGTAGGAACAAAGACAGCAGCATTAGGACTTAGCTTTGTCTTTCTTTACACTCTAGGAGATGGATTAGCAACCTGCTCAAGCACGTCTACTGCCCCATCATTTGCTTTACCACCTTGTCGTGTTGATGAACCAGTTTCTTGAGTGTTTAGCTCCTGGGAATCATCAACATAATTTTCTTCACCTTCTTTATCTTCTTCTACTTGGTCAGCCCAGGTTTACGCATAGAGATAACTGCCTCCTCTAGCTTGTTTAACTTCTGGTCAGGTTCCTCACTTGACTCGTCTTCACTCATCTCGTCTTCATGTTCATCGCTTGCGTGGTCATTCCCTCCTTTTGGATTTTTTGTTGCATATGACATCATGGACAATGTGTCCTGATTATGTGAAGGTTGTATAGATCGATCAAACATATCATTTGAAGGTACCTCATGGTGTGAGGTATTCATTCCAACCCCAACAATCTGCCTGGCAGTCACCCCTCATATAGATAACCCTTTATTTGCAGCAGGAGGGATCCCAGGTAATGCATTTAAAGGGTTCAAATTATCCAGAATATGAGCTCCAATAGCAGTGATATTGATATTAGGCGTGACAGAGTTACTGGACATATTATGTTCGTTCTCAACCAACACCAGTAGCCCCTGCTTTGGATGTGATTTCTTCTCCCTATTAGCATTTGAAATCTGATCGTCCATTATCAAGACATCATACTGATTGTTACTATGTACGTACGTAGCAGCAGCTGCTGGATCCTCAAATTGTGATTGTTTAACACCTGGAGACTTTCTTGTTCTAGGTGATCGATTGACATGCGACCAGGCTCTATCTTTTGCTTTATCGTCTGCAAATCTTTTGCGACTGCCCAGCTTGTTCCTTTGTAAGGCTGACAAGTGGGCCGGTCCCGGACCTAAACGGGCTACGTGGGCCGATCCTAAGTGGGTCGGTCCCAAATTAAACGGGCTTCGTGGTCCCGGGCTTCGTGGTCTTTTTGTAGGAACCGGCCTAGGACGGGACCCATGAACTAATGGTCCCGGGCTAAGTAGGCTGGTCCCGGGCCTAAGTGGGCCCAGCGAATATTTTTTTTTTTTAAATTTGTAGAAGTTAGAGAAAAAAAGATGGTAATAAAAAATATCTAAGGCAATTCCTTGTAAATTATATGTGACCTAAATTTTTTAATTCAAATTTAAAGACAAAAATATTGTAAAGAGATATTCAAAGCAATACGTTATAATTTTATTATAGCATTAAAAAATATGACAATATCTTTCTTAGTCTTCCTCCCCCCTATGGAATGAGCACAACAAGGTGTTAATATCACCATTGAGAAGAAAAAGAAACTAATCAAGATATGCCAAAATATAAGTTAGATAATACATACTAATTTTTGTTCATACAAGTTACATGGTATCTCTTACAAACTTCATAAATCCATCAAGGTCCGGAGAAATTTCTGTTGGCGGTGGCGGAAAAGTATCTTGGTCATCGCCGCTTTCGCGCGAAGCAGCATCCTCTGCAAGTTCAGCTAGCATTTCTTTGTAAGCTTCGTCTACCTCTGGTTGTGATTCAGTAAGTCCAAAATTTCTTCTTTCCGAACGGATCCAATCTCTTAAAAGTACTGATTTTTTCAAGCTCTCCCTCATAGACGCTTTATAATCACCGAGTTGAAGTCTTGCTTGACTGAAAGCGCTCTCCGATGCCACTATTGAAACTTGAATAGTTAAAATGTCTCGGCCCATCCTTGAAAGAATCGGAAAGTGTTTTTCTTTGTCCTTCCACCATTCCAAAATATTAAAGGAGCCGTCGGGATTCACTTCCTCAAATCCTTTTTAAAAAAAACATACAAACTCATTTAGTTGTGAAAAATCACTAGTAGTAGAACCTTGAGAACCCCTGAAATCCGCCCAAGCACTAAGTGCTCTTACTCCCGCAGTTCTTTTAGATGATTGAGAGTCAGAAGAAGGAGTTGGAACATTTGGTCTAGCCTGATCTAATGCAACTTGATAAGCATTATAAATAGTTTGAGTATTTATTTTAATTAAGGCTATTGCTTCCCGAAGTTTAGACAACTCCTCTTCTTCAAGTGCTAAACCATTATAAACAGTTTCATACCAAAATTGAGGACCTCCTAATTTCATAGTAGGATTTAACAAGGCAGCAACCCCAAAAATAGGGGGAATAGGGAAAAAATATTTTTTAAACTTTTTTCTCATAGAATCAATAGCAAGTTGATAAATTTCTCCACCCTCTAAAAAAATGAGGAAACAAATTTGCAAGTTCTGCAATATAAACTAAACAGTTAGAAATAGTAGGGTAATATTGCCCAGAATATTCATTTGTAGCAATATGAATTTTTTCTAAAAACTCTACAAGCATTTTAACATTAGCCCAATCCGCATTTGTAAGGTGCTCATCATCATCACTTACATGAGCATTAAACGTTGAGTTTATGGGGTTTCTATATTCATATGCAACAACTAAACTTTCATATATGTAATTCCATCTAGTTGGACTAGGTTTAGGAACCTTTCTTTCTCTTAGGCCAAATTCATTGCATCTTTTAAAATATTCTCTAAATCTACAAATAATGCAAAAATA